GCTAGAAACCTGTATTCTCTGAAATGGCCAGCAGAGGGCAACTCCTATAGTTGTAAACAGAACTCAATAGAGGTCCAAGGGAAAATGTCTCAGCTTCTCACTCATAACAACTGTAAAGATTTTCAAAAGGAGTTCATGGTCTCAATCTTTAGTTTCAAGACTTCTCCAATACAACACGATGTTCATTAAAATGGAATTAGAGTCAAATAGCTGATAAAGCAGGGTGTTAAAAAATCAGAGGGATCATCATTAGTACAAATTGTAGTGGAAAACAGTAAAGATCACTTGATTTCTAGGAGGAAAAAAAAGTCAACCAAACTGCTTTTTTTCAAGCATTTACTGGTCCTATTTTTCAGGTTTGAGAACTTTGTGTTGAGCTTGGAAAAAAGGAAATTCGTGTAGAAAGACAAGTTAACTTTAATTACTTTTATTTGACTCAACATGCATCAAGGTTTTCTCATCACAAACAGGATCATGTGTCATAACTAACTGATTTCTTAATCTCCCACCATGATTTCCCTCCATTAGATTAGGAATGTAAATAAATGTAAAGATTAGATCCCTGCAACATTTTGAAACATTGAGGACATTTGCTTCTCCAAGAAAATAATTGCAGGATAATGACAGAACAGAATCATCTTTACAGTTGCAGCATTTTCAATTTGACCTAGGTGGCAAAACTTTCTTTTTTTAATTAAGTGGCAGTCTCTGCCCCAGCTGCGTCTCCAAGTGATGGAAAAGTGACCCTCAGACAGGCTTGCTAGCAATGAGGCTATATTATCCAACATGGAGTTGAGCTTGCCAAAGTTTCCAAGCTCGTGGATGACCTGACGAAGTCAATGGAAGGATGCCTCAATTCAATTGAGACCTGTCTGTCCACTCTTCAAAAAGAACAAGCGAAGCTGAACACAGCATTCATGACATGGAAGAGGATCTTCTGACACTGGAGGCCACATGTAAATGGTGAATGGTATGTATTTATATAGTGCTTTTCTAGTCTTGATGACCACACAAAGAGCTTTACAGTACAGTTTTGCCATGTTTGCCCCTTTTTCTATGAGGGGATGTATCTTGTCAAAGGACACTTCGGATGGGGAAGACTGGGATCGAGCTACCAACCTTCTGGTTGAGAGATAACCGGAATTCTCATGAGAATGGCAAACCCCCATTCTCATCTGTAAAAACATCCCATTCGTATTTAAATCTGACCCAGGTGGGAGACATGTTCTTGTCACCAGTACAACTAACTCTTTTCCATTAGGCCGCTTAAATATTTATGCCCCAAACTTTGACAGCCCTGAAATTTTTGTAAATCTTTTAATTTTGTCACTGCGCACAATAACTACAAAATAATAATTGATGGGGATTTCAAGTGCTATTTTCAATCAATCAATCAATCAATCAAATTTTATTTGTAAAGCTCATGTTCACAAATCACAATTTGTCTCATCTGGCTTTAACAAGGTGTGACACATTCTTCCCTTAACCCTCAACAAGAATAAGGAAAAAACTACAAAAAAATCTTTTAAAAGGGGAAAGAGGACGTAGAAACCTCAGAGAGATTCACATGTGGGGGATCCCTCTCCCAGGATGGACAGAAGTGCAATAGATGCCACGTGTGATGGAGAACGTCAGAAAAATGTATTTATATATTTATTACAGCATTGGTTAGAATAAACAGTTTGTAGCATAATGGAAGGTACATTAATTGAGGAATTATTGTCAAAAAAGGTAGAGCACCTGAGTAGACATATTGTATATCAAGCAAAAAGAGGAAGATATATGGGGATGCTGTGGGAGACTTGGGGCTGACAATTGCTCATGTTACTCTGTTATTGTTTGTATATTGTTCCACCTTCTGGTCTCCTTGATGCATCAAGTCTACATTAAAATATTCTGCATAAGACATCAGCTGCTGCCTGAGTTCTCCTTTCACCAGCTTCCAGGAAACTTCCATCACAGTACCTAGTCAGCCGTTACCCATAGTTCCACGGCCGTAGGGGAACATGCTACCTAGTGAGACTGCTATGTGTAGGCCTGGCACCAGCCACTGTGAGGCCACCACCCACCCCCGACCCAAAGGCACCCTGTCTGTAGGGGAATATACCTTGTGAACCTGGATTTCCTGTGAGCCCCTGGGCAACAAATAAACCAAAATCAAAATTGAACACTTCAAACCCAGGAAACCACCTGATATGCATTTCATTAGGCTGCAACGCATATAAATATTAAAGCATCTGGAGTGCAGCAAACCATCTCATAAGCAACAATGGCATTAGGCAGCAAAGAGTACATATTAAAACATCAAAAGTGCAGCAACTGAAGATCTTTGACAATCAATATTCGTTCTTGTGGGACCTGACATGGCATGGTAAGCATGGATGATGGAGAGCTGCAGTCGTAGCTGTGCCAATTCTTAATGAGTGAGAAGACTAGCGTTCAGGTGTTATGCTGCAGCTCTGGCTGCAGATTGCAAATCTTTGAGGAAATCTCATCATGGTGATAGATCTTGACAACATCTATCAGGTTTTTTTATAATTATAATGTAGATGATTAAATGAGAGAATGCATGTGGAGTTGAGGGGGCAGGGAGAGCACATTCACCTGCAGCAGAGGATCAATCAGCGGAGGTGAGAGCTGTTAGCTGATTCATCCTCAGGTTTAAAAGGCAGAAGGTGAGCTGCCTCAAAAGACACAGAGGACTGAGAGATGGACAGATACGCACAGAGGACTGAGACTGAGCTGCCAAGCTAGTTGTCCAGCTGAAAAAGCTGGACCCTTTAAGTTTGGTTTGGACTTTATGTTTATTTATGTGTTTAAGTGATCAATAAAAAGATTCTAAAACCTGAATGGTTTGGCTGTGGTGAGAGCCCCGTGGCATGGTCTACTGCCACAACGCACTTTGCAGGACTGTGGCAAGTCTGCTTCCATCATTGTATCACTGACTGTACTCTGCCTTACCTCTACGACGGTATTTGTCCTGTTTATTTGGCATCGAGAGCCCTGTTGTGTCGTTCACTGCAGCAGTTATAGTTACTTCAGCTGGTACTTCTCCTGTCCTATCTTCTGCTGGTTTCCCCCAGTGTTTCCACAACATATACAATGCAGCGACTTGATCACTTGAGCAAGTCATCCTCCTCTCTTCCAAGGGGAGAAAAGGCAAATACTCCCTGGTTGTCTTTATTTGTGGGTGTGGCGGCGGGATGTGGTTAGGGCGCCAACTGCTGGACGATAGGGAGGAGTGGCTCAGCCGGTGATCGGACAGCCGTACAGAATCAGGTAATCAGGCAATCAATAAGAGCATGCTGGTAACCTGGTTCTGGTCTCTTGCAGTAGGCTGGGCTTCTGATGCAGAAGCAGGACAGACGGCTAAGTGTGGACGTGTGGGGGTCCAGAGACTCCAAGTATCTGTGTGTGCCGGTTACAGGCTGACAATAATAAATAAAGACTGTGTTAAAACGCCATTCTCTCCTCCCGTAATTTCCCGGAGTGGGCCGAGAAATCCCACAGTGGGTTATGTGCAACTAACCCTTATAAACACAAATTATCATGCAGCACGTTTCGAGTGTCATGAAATTTCGTACCAAGTTCAGTATGAACACACACTGCTGGCACGTCCATATAGGCGAACTTGGCAAGAGCAGCACTTTGGCAAGGGCAGCAAAATGTGAATTACTGAGGAGTGTGTCAATCACACTTCACCGTGTTCATATTTGATGTGAATGTGTTCAGTCCAGCAAGAGTGCTGCTTATGTTTTCGTAGTCATCATCGTATAGGCCATCATGTGAAATACCAGGAGCGAGAGAATATATGTGTGTCTGTGTGTGTCCTCCACATACAGTACACACACACACACACGTTTTAGGAAAATGCCATGATTTGTGATATGGATCCACAAAATGCATATTGTGTCATGCATACTTTAATACTGTTGGCACTTTAAAAACACTAGGGTTGTACTAGCACTTTGTGTGTATGGTATATTGGCGTTGCTGGTATGCTACAAAAAGAGAAGTTATTTTCCACCTAGAGCGGCAGAAGTGCACGTGCCAGTCCTGTGAACACACCATTACAAAACTAAACAAAGATGCGGTGACAATGTGAATGACAAATTCACAACAAATGTACTTCTCGCACACAAAGGAAAATAATTGCTGAATAGCACCTCAAATTAACACTGAACTAAAACCATACCCACTTTGTTGCTCTCATAAATGTGTAGCTTCACTCAGCCAAGTCTGTAGCAGTGCCCTTAGTGGCTACGTCCCAAAACAATCTGTGCTTCAGAACAGGTCTTGTTTTTTATTTTTTCCCTTTATTTTTCCCTTAAATATTTGTCTGGCACACAGTCATGCAAGCCACTGCAATCTTTGAGTTGAAATTAATTATACTTTAAATATCAGTGTCTCTAAAGGTACAGTGTGTAGATTTTAGTGATATCTAGTGTTGATGTTGCATGTTGCAGCCAAAGTCTATGGTTGCAGCTGAACACCCCTCACCTCACCACAAAGGCGAGAAGACCAACGCGAACCATATGATAAGGGTATTTTATTGTGATTTGAATTCATATTTTCTTTCTTCTTTCAGTGCTACTGCATCCTGTGGTCTGTGCATGATATTGTGACGTTTGAGTAAGGTCAGAACAGTCTTTATCTAAGAGGATAATTGAAATCAAAATGTTTAACTTTGCATACCTGTAGCTTTTAACCAGTCAAAGTGATATTTGCACTGTTGCACACATAATTTCATAATCGGCAATATTCTACAGAGTGCTTTCACGTCACTGCCAGCCCATACTTCGCTGTAGGGGTTCCGGAAACAGCCGAACATTGCCGACAACTCCCGAGGGTTTAAACCGACAGTGATGTGGATGCTGCTCTGTCAGGGAGGAGCGGCGGACAGCCAGACGGATGGCGCTGTCATACCGTGCACTGTCCCACATACAGGCTGAAAAGCAGCCCAGCGGAACATTCCTCACGGTGCTTACGGACCTTTCTCCTGTTAACAGCGGAGGACTAGAGCAAGTGGATTGGAAGAACAGAGCGACTAAGCTTAACTGTGAGGGGGACCTCTTTGCTCTACGACATCTGTCACGGCATACACGCGTCCAGAGAAGCCCAGAAAATGGTGAGTTACAATGATGACTTTGTGACTGCTTCGTCAGCTGTCAGAGATGCAGCGCCTTGTGGGGACAATGTTATAGGATCGGCCTGCACACTGAACTCTGAATATATTTATACAACTCCGTCAACTCGCACTTACATCTGGCGGAACTCGACGCTCATTGCTGTCCAATCTGACAAAACAACAATCATATAAGAATAATAAATTAATTCATCGTATGCAAAAGCACAGCCTGCGCTACATATACAGGTCACGTTCGGTGATATTAGACTATCTTGACCACATGTAATTGTTACTAAGTTCGACATGAACTAACCACTGAGAGATGATGTGGAGAAAATCGATTAACGTCAACTTTTATGAGCACATTTTGTCAATGGAGGTCTTCCCTGCAAATGATATGCTGGGACAGTTTTAAAATGACTCAGAAGGACTCTTGAGATGGGTGAAGATGCATAAATCCAGCACATTTTAAAATACCGTTTGGACAAAGCATCTTACATAAAATATGTTCTTTTATATGGATCAAACTCTGGATCAAATCTGTGCAGCACATGCATAATTTCTGTCATGCATTGTTTATTTTCTCTCTGGTAAGACAGTGCGTGCTCAGACTCGCTGCAGTCAGTCTGAGCAAGGTGCCTCGTTCTCATTAGGATCCACTATGAGCTTCTTCATGATGGGAACCACGTCGCTGCTTTGATGCATTTTGTAAAGCATGTGTATGTGAGCTTCTGGGTAAACAGTGCCACTCGCGCTGTTTATAATATAGTACCAACACCAGAAACACATTTGCTCAATGTTAAATTGTATTGTGTATGATAAACACGGGGGGGGG